CGATACTACCAAACGCATTGATACCTAAGCGAGCATACGTTAATCTGAATGTTTAGTTTTATTTGATCGTTAACGTATCTTTTCTCCCGTGCCGTCATAATCTCCGTAAAAAAATCTATAACCACCTAATTCTTTATGACAACGTAATTTTTTGTAACTAAATAACAAGCGATTAATTTTCTCAGTATCGACTACAGTTCATAAGGCTCGTGTTAAAAAGAAACTTTTATTACGTTTCTTTGTCAACAATCTTATCGTTGACTTTGTCATTTTTTGGTAGCAATGGAAAGTTGAAGCTTTTAAGAATGTTCTGTTAAGTTTCCGACTAAATTTATAATTATTAAAAATTTGCGGAACCTACCTTCACCATTCTGCGAGCAACCAAAATGTTCATTTACGATTATTGAGCAATCGGAATACTCCTATTCTGACAGATTAGATAAACATAGATAATTTTACTTTCATATTTTTCCGAACCTCTTAGTTTTCCCTTCCTATAATATACCAAGTGCTGTTTTAAACAATAATATAACAAATTGTGAATAGAAATTTATAAATGGACACCTAGGTATACGGTTGCCTACACAAGGGTTAATCCGCTCGAAAAATTCACCTCTACGAAACTGTTAATAATGAGTCACCATCGGTGGCCTGGCTAGATCAACCGCCTTTCACGAGATCCTGCGCCGTCGATCGCGAACGAACCGGCGTGACCGCGAAACTTCGATTTGAACTCGGTTATCGTGGAACTGGATCGCGTGCCCGGCCAATCTTAGAACAATAACGTTCGTGTTTATCGAGGCAACGAACGCTGAGAGCCGAAACGGGCCTAGAAACGCGTCGATAGAGAACGAAACACTCGTCGGAAGTTGTTCACAACGTGATAAATAAGAAGCTTTGTGGTTAATGTGCAATAACCTCGAGCCACGACCGCGATAACGACGCGATCTCATTCGTCAAGACGTGGGCGATGCGCGCGGCGAAATTCGTGGATCATAAATGGATCTCGGGAACGTCGCCAAACGAACGTTTCTCGTGAGAATAATACACTCGACGTCGTTGACGTACGACACGTGTCTTACCGAACAGATTGCAAAAATTTTCCGTAAATATTGACGATGCTTTTTCCAGCATCGACGTCGACCTATCGATTAAAAGAGATCACTTTTACGTTGCAAATGTAGCAAAGCAACGTTCGAGGTCGCTGTTTACGACCGAAATACATACATCCTTTACGATGAAACACAAATGTCCAGCGCGACCCTAAATCGCGAAACACTCGCAAGGTCGCTCTTTTTAATGCAATTAACGCTTGATTCGGTCCCGGGAACGCGATATCTCGGCCTTTCCTGCTTAACGTCTGCTTCTGGTAACGAGAAACCCCGTTTTAGACGCGTTGCAACGACCGTGGACGAGGGAAGAGATTATAATGAGTTCGAAACGCATGAAAATCTGGAGCAAGCTCGGACTTTCAGACCGTGGAAGGTTTTCCGTGATCTACAGAACTGTTTCTTTTTATGAAGAATTTGTATCTGTATGATTTACGGTTTTCATTGTATATCGTTTTTCTGTAACGTTACGAAAAGATGCATGTCGAAAAAGCGTTCCTAAAGCTAGGTGTCCATTTGAGAATATCTCGCGCGAGTTGCTCTCGAGAGTACTCAGTGTGACGTTCTGTATCCATTTGGGTGTAGCTTCGAAAATGTTTACTCTGGGACAGTGGCTAGAATGTTCGCCGAGGGCTTACTATCAGACAGAACTCTCAGAATCGTATCCATGTGAGATTCGTCCGTGCCCCTCTGTTCTGCAGTTTGTTTTGAACTCAGCGTGTGGTGAGATAGTGACTATGGACGTGAAGAAACTTTCTGCTTTTATTATTGCATACAATATTATAAAAAAAGAAACAGAAACACAGTTGCTGGATGAAGCGTAGAGACGAATTAGGAAATATTAGAAATTATTATTAATTAGAATTTATTTTAATTATTTTGAATAATGAATAATAATAAAATTAATGTATTTGATTCTTACTTTATTTGTTTATTCAAATTATTTTTATTTCTGTGTCTTCAGTTCCATAATACGGTTTTTTCTTTGTAAACACTTATCGTGAATCGTTAATTTTATTTTTACACCAATGTTTCTTCCCGGATATTGTTTCTCGCGCGACAGTTCTCTCAGGAATACGAAAACTGCTTTGTCTTTAGAGAGTGACTGTCGGATAGTAGTATGAGTTTGTATCTAGTTGAGATTAAGGCATGATATGTCGACACTCCGACAGTTGAGCTATGCTCTTGGATAGTCACTCTCAGACGTATGTCCACTCGCTAGGAATGCTCCTGAGAGAAGCTCACGACAGTTTTACTCTTAAATGGACACCTACCTTAATGTTTGACCAGCTTTGTACACGGAATTTTCTTCTCGAAATCGCCCACGAAGTTCTCGTTAGTTTAACGATTATGATTGTATAAAGTCTTGTAATTTTAGCAATTTTATATCATTTATCCGATAACGATATAATGCCTTTAGCGTGCGGAATAGAGATTTCACGTGCCTCCGTTATGACTAATCGTACGTGGGACTGAAACACTATCATTTCGTGTTATTATAATGAGTTTTCGAAAGACAAATCGGATTTACAAATACTCGTTCCTTCAAGAAAAATTCTGCGGACTTTGCAACTTAATGATTCAATTCGCGAAGCACTTCGAATTTATGCAAATCTCTGAAAACCCGTTGCAATTTGAGTAAAAGTTTACAGACTCCCTTTACATAAGAAATTCTGAAGTCTGAATATAAATTCAAGTCTGTGTAAAAAAAAAAAACTGTAAAAATAGCAACGAACATAATAAGTTCTATTTGCTAAATATAAACTAGCGAGTTGTGATGCATTGTAAGTGGTAATTATTTTTTTTTATCTTGGACGTCTCACTGTGACGAGATAAGTGTACCCATCAAACATGATCACGACTTCTAAGCTTGTGTTCTTGAACAGGAACATAGTATTAATGAAAAGTATGAAACTCTTCAACCTCTTTCGATTTAGATAGATTTTTTTCCCGAAAGTTGTTCTTGATACAGAATATGTCACTGATATAAAAGAATATTATAGTAGGCAGGATATTTACATGTATCTAAACCAAATTATAAACAATGCGTATTTCGAGAAGAGAGTCGCAGAAAGTCACGTGGCCGAAAAATCGAGTTAAACCTGGCCTTTAGTAGAAAACACTACGCGCGTAAAGTTGGGTAAATAAAAAGATCGTTTACATTATTTTGCCCGATCAATTTGCTCAGCGACATGTCAAAAGTCAACATTTACTTCTCGGAAAACCAGCTGCCGATGTCGCGCGTGGCCGGGCACTGTTTATCGAAGCTGTCCGTGTCTCGTCCGTTTATTTTTTCCACATTTCATCGACGATCCTGCGCGCGAATAAAGGAATTTTAATCGACGCCGCCGCGCGTTTTGCTTCTCTGTTTCAACAGCCTCCTCTCCCTGCTGATTGGAATCGTTCGCCGTGACGTCGATCGATTTCCCAAAGAAACCCAATCAAGCTTGGAGCGCAACGTCATCCAATCGACCGAAAAAGGCCACCCGAACGGATCAGTTCAGCGGGGCGAAAAATACGAAGAACGCATGCTCCACGGTGTTGTTCCATAAATCGAAGAACGACGACGCACTAATCAACACCGATAGACATTAACCGTTCCGATAAGAGGAAAGGTCGAACAAGGTGGGGGCGAGCTACGACAGAAACGAGAGCGAAATCAGTCTACTACCGATTGTACTTGATCAGACAGCGACCAGACGTGCTCACGTGAAGGTATTCGCGCGAGAAGTATTCGAGGCGAGCGAAAAAAGCGAGGACAGAAGTTTTTCGAAGTTTTGTTACCGCTACCACTGTCAGAGTGCTATCCGCTAGTAGCGTTGACTCTCTCGCAACGTTCTTGTTGGAAGGGGTTACCCGGTGAAAGAGGGAATCCAACGAACGTGGAGTTATATATATGTGTTCGGATAGGTCGTGGTTCATGTGACGCAATATACCACGAATTTCGTCCCCTGTGTCAACCAGACCGGGCAGAGTTGTATTCCTTTTAATTCAGGAACGATTGGAGTAATCTCGTTTCGGGACGTTGAAATTTTGGTCCCGTTGTTGTGTTCGATTGAATTGTTTCAGGATAAATCGCACGCGTACACTTAAGATCATAAATAATCTGTACGTGATTCCACGGGCATTTCCTCCAGAAGAAGGATTTCACGTTCTCTTTCGTAAAGCCTTGGTCTATCAGATCGATCTCGAGGGACCTTGATTTTGAAGTTCGACAAGAAACGTTCCCGATCGAGGGAATAATTCCTCGCAGAAGAAGGAACTGAAAAAAGGTCTGTAGAGCTTCTATCGCGGAACAAGAAACGCTGGTCTCATTTCGTCGACTCGGACGGAGATTGTGCTGCACGAAGGAAGCCTTTCTATTAACCGAATAGCATTAGTGCCTACTGACCGTACCAGAGTTCGAGCTGTCGTGGCGCCGGAAGCCCTTGGCCTAGCGAGGGAACGCCAAGACGAAACGAACACAGAAGTTTCTCGAAGCTTGGCGTGACGCTGACTCTGGTCTCTGAGAGACCCGCTCGAAAAGGAGAAGCGGCGAGCGGCTGGGACTAGGACGAAGAAGTGGAGGCACGCTGGAGAGTGAGAGGAACCGATTGGATTGCGTCAAGTTTCAATAAGAGGAAAAGAGAGGACAACGTGGTCACGCTGTAACTTGGAACGGATTTAGAAGGTCCGGTTGCTCCGTTTTAGGGCTGTTCTGAATAGAGACAGCGTGAAGATAGAAGGAAAGAGTGGAGAACAGAATCGATAGGAAAATACATTTGGGGAAACAGGATATAATTGCTGGGAAGAAAAACTGTCCGAATAAAGGACGAAGGAGTGGAACGTGATAGAGAAATAAGATTCCTTCTGGTCTGGACAAGTGGTAACAGCTGAATAGGATTTGGCATCATGGCGAAGAGTAAAAAATCTTTGTCCGTTCCCGAGCGAAGCGACGTGTTCGACGAGGAGTCGATCGCAGTTCGATCACGATGGCGGAATCTCGCCGCTTTTTGGATACTTGGCCTCTGCAATAATTATGGATACGTGGTGATGCTTAGCGCCGCTCACGATATCCTGGAAAGTAAATTCGGCACGACGGTAAGTAGACTGAAGTAGTTCTCATTGGTCCGCTTGACGAATCAGTCGGGGAGGTCGGAGGAGTTCAATTGAACGAAAGCTTTGTTTCAATGTCTTTGCGTAGTATATTCTGCGATGTCTAGTATTCTGAGTGCGATCTCTTTGGTATTTCGAGAATTTTCTGGATTTCTCAAGGGATTCTTTTAACGTTAATAGTAGAGAAAAAAGAAGTGAAATACGATACGCATAAGTAAAACTCCGAATTGCTATTCTTAGAGTCGCTTAAATCCGAACTGAAGTCACGGGGTTATAATTAACGGTACTGTAATGCAATATTCGAAGAATCCGGTTGGTTGGTAGGGGATCGCGGAATCGGTCGGCGGTTGCGTTCTCCGTTTCCGGCAACAATGCCGTGACGACTAACGAATGACAATTGGTTCTTTGCGTTGTTTCACGTCGGTAAGTTTTCCGGTTGTTCCGAATTACCACGTACGTGAACACGATCTCAACCACTTTACCCTGCTACAGCCCACAGTCTAGGTATACGTATATCCGAAATAATGATTAGGAAGGAGGAACAAACAGATCGGTAACAATCGCTTCACAGATTTTGCAAACCTAAGAATAATTTTGAAGATACAGGATTAAGACAAAAAAGTGAGCAACAGCGTTCATGAAACGAGAAAGTGATTGGGTAGAAATGCTCCTGAAGACCGTAGCAGAGTTAAGGTACTTCAAAGGTAGTCAATCTAAGTCTCCTTTAGACTCAAAGCTTGAATTACAAAGTTTCAGATACAGTAGTTTACGAGATACTTAATAATAATAGTTAATTTCAGTTGGTAACGTTGCGTACAGATAAATATTCAAACAAAATTTCAAACGATCGATGACAACAGCCTCGGACACGTAAAAATAGGAGACAGTCGATTCAAAGACAAATTGCGGGATTGGACGATCACAATTATTCTTCGCCCCATTAACGTTAATGTAATCGCGTCGACGGAATTAACCAGTACAATTGTCGAGAGATCTACTGGGTATCTTAAACCGGCCCGCGATCCCTCCTCTTGGTCGTTTATCATCGATCGTGCCCGATTGGTAGCGTCGAATTAAACGATTGCAAGACAAGCGTAGAATCGACGGAACAATTGTAAGGACACCTTGAGAGTCTTCTGACATTTTGTGTTTGCCCATGCTGATAATCTAGTGAAGATAATTACGACCGAGAGGTAGCGATACGATAAAGGTGCGCGACACACGGTTTGCTCCAAATCAGCGGACCCGCTGATGCGTGATGGGCTCTTTGCCTATGTATGGTTCGATGAATCACCGACTCCATTCAGCCGTATTACAAAACGGGCGATTAGGTCCTCGTATCGATTGGATTCTTGTTGTTAACCGACGATACTCCGATTGCCGTTGGGAACCACGGGCCAGTGGAAAAGTTTACTATAATCGATTCCCTCCGATACGTATTAGTCGAGAGAAACACGTAGAATCACATTCGAGAGATACATTCCAATCAGACGAAATTTCGGCGGCGCAATCTGTTTAATTGGTCACTGCTCGGTTCGGATGAAAGTATCACGACGACGTTGGTCGTTTGTTTATCTTCACTTCCGCTCATTACAGATATTTACTCTTTTGGTTACATTCAAAATGTCATTTTTATGATTAACTGTTTGTAGTTATACAGGGTGGGTCGAAAATCGTAGTACAACCGGGCAGGAGGTGATTCTACGTTAAAAAAAAAAGAAAATATTTTGGTAAAACATTTTCTCAACCGAGGCTCCGAGTTCGAGATAATAGATTTTAAAATTTGTTCAACTTGTAAACGGTTTAGTACACTTTGCTTGTCGTGTATTCCACTACTGCGATTGTCTCTGTCCGGGACAGTGTTTACAAACATTGACAACGATGGAAAACTGTCTACACAGTTCGGTTTACGATAAGATATTGAGGAATTTGAAAAATTAAAAAGCGATATCAGCTTACACTCTGTTCAGATTTCATTAATTCGTCGAGCAAACTTATGTATGCAGCAACGAGGACATTTTCAACAATACTTAAAATAGTCTACTGTATTGTAGTATTGTAATAGTAACTAGTAAAAAAGAATAAAAAATGACTTATCAGTAGAATCACTTTGTATTGTTTTATCTACGCAATCATCAATGTTTGTAAACACTGTCTCGGACAGAAACAACCACAGTACTGGAATACACGACAAGCAAATTGTACTAAATTCTCTTCATAACAACCACGTGTTCCAACATTTATCATAAGCAGTGCACGTTCTTTTTCCCCTTGAAATTATCAGTCAACTTATGCATAAATGATTTTATATTCGAAACGTGTGCTTTTACACAACCATTACACACAGCGAATATTGCTATTCAGAGGACACAATAGAACTTCCAAGAAATCGTCTAGAAAATTTCCGTTCAAGTTTTACGGTTCTTAAGTTCTTTCAAGTTTTCACGAATTGCACATAATAAATCCTGCTTTATAGACGGGGTAACAGCTCGCGCGAGACCAGCCTTCGTGAACCGTTTCATTCAAATTCTCCGCTGGCAGTAAAACTGCACGGTTTAATTAGCCGGCGGCGTGTCTGTCGCGCGCGGCGGTTTCGAACCTCTTGTTCCTCCGAGCGAATCGGAGACAGCTGAGCGGGGAAGAGAGAGAGAGAGAGAGAGAGAGAGAGAGAGAAAAAAAGTCGTTAACGCAGCGGACAATTAAGCGGAATTACATCGTCGAAGCAGAACGGATTCTCCGGTCTGAAGGAATGTCTCGTTATGTCATCGACGAATCTATGCGTACGATTTCGCATTGTATAATCGAGGCGCCTCCTCCGCCTCCCCCCCGTTCACGGATATTACTCTGTTCGAACGCGATACCGCTTACGTAAGCCGTGGTACAGCCACGTGAATTAATATTCCCCCACGTTCAAGGTGGCGTTGTCCGTGAAAAGAGATACCGGGCGCCGATAGCTTCCGCGGCGATCCGAATTATGGGAATATTACGATAATAGACGATCGCTGATTGTCCCGGCTTACGTAACCGCACGTCGGACGGAAAAACGATGAATTAATCGAGATTTTGTTCTGTTTTACACCTGTCCGCGTTCTTCGTGTGTTAAGGAATCCAATATGGAGTTTGTCAATGGAACGATGAACACCACCGGTCTTCGTGCCTGCAACACGCTCTCCACAGGCGCCATCTTGCTGGCGGATATTTTACCCTCGCTGGCGGTCAAGGTCGTGACGCCGTTCCTGCCGTTTTACGTGCAGTGAGTATTATTCTATTTGTTTACAATTATTCTCTCATTAATCGTGACATCCTCGTGAACATGATTCCGTGTGAAATGCATGGTAGATCGAGCCAGTCAGCACTGCGAATCAGAAAGAACAGTGGTTTGTTCTTCAGCTGACCAATCGTTGGGTAGATAGCAAATTCGCGATATATATTCGATTTTCATTTCGAGTCTCGGTTTTCGACGGCAGATGCTAGACCAGTCGAGGTATCTTATCGATGGAATTCGTCCGGGTATTATTGTGTGTCCATCGGCGTTTCCAAAGCGTTGGAAAAAGAAACGAAACGAGAAAAATGTAGCGCGATCGTAGCGATTAGATCATCGCCGGGGGACGTGATTCGGTTCGCGGAAATGAAACCACGCTGTTTTTGAAAACGTTCGATGCCTCTATTTTCGTTTTGTTAGTTTGAACGACAATGTTCGAGTAAACGAAACGGAGAAATAAATGTTGTAATGTTCCTGTTTGTCCCCACTGGTAATGTTCCTGATCCATATTTAGTCTTTACTGCCAGACTTTGTCACCTTTTCCACATTTTATCCAACAATGACGGTACGCATTAATGACCGCGTCATTAATTTATAATGCGACACTTGAGTTACCGTTACCGAGGCGTCATTCACTGTGCGTGACGTTTGATTTTTTTCCGCTTGAAGAATTAGATACTCCCATTGCAATTGACGATTAATGAAAACGGAACTTATTATCACACGAGATACGCATCTTTCGTATAGAAGTTCTCATCGTAACTTGCTTCGCAGATATTCTTCTCGTCTGTTCTTCACATCGCTTCGAGTTAACAAAAACCTGGACAAATAGTAACTCCACAGAAGGGGACAGTGGTATCGAGTCTCAAGGATCATTTTTTCCGCTTCGTTTATTAACACGTTAAGTCACGTTCTGCGGCGTCTTTTATCGATGTATAATATGTATGCATATCGACACATCGCGAAAGGAAAACAGAAGTCTTATTTATCAATGGAATAGACCCGATGGCGAATGTGTTAAAATATTCCTGTTGAAACTAAAATTACGATCGTGCAAGCGCTACATTCCACACGAGTGTCGCGTAATCTGTCATATATTTTTTATCAAAGTACACGAAACGCGGCCCGAACATCACTCATGCTTTTCTGATACTCTCCTAATCGCTGTTTTCTCTGGTCACGAAAGGCGTTTCGGGGGACGGATCACATCACCGGAAGTCGCTCGTACCTCCGTGAACGAAAAATGCTAATCGATTAATCGAATCGTTAATTACAGTGCTCGTCTGGCTACCTGTGTGTTATTTTCCGCTGCAGGATTCCTTGTGGTGTCGTTGAGCACTACTGAATGGCTCGCCATTCTGGGCGTCGTTATAACGTCACTATCTTCCGGTTTGGGAGAAGTTACACTGCTGAGTTACAGTCACCAATATCCCAAGTAAGTACCAATTGTTCCTTCGACCCCTTCGCGATCTTTCTGATCGCTATTGACCGCGAGCATTCTCTTCCACACGTAATTTTCTTTCATACACTCTATCGATGTCCATCATGCGAAGACATGTTCCCTATTTTTCATCCGTTCGTAAAAAGATCCCGTTAATCCGTGTTTCGTATTCAATATCGTCGAGAATTAGTATTGGTCGATGTCGAAAGTAATAATTCGTCCCGTTTAAGCGCACTTCATTTACATCTTATTCACCGATCAATGGATTAATCGATTCACTGTCTGATCCTAGCGGTGCTCGAGGATCGCAGCATCGTCTGTGCGAGAGAGCAACGTGTATACGTAAAAAACAGATTAGACGAGAAATATGAACGAAACTGTAATGCAAACAAATGAGAGTTGCGAAATATTGAGGAATTACGATCCGAAGTGTATTGACGCAGGTATATCGAGTATCGCTAGCATAAAGGCGTAATATGTATTTACATTTAGACAGTTGTTCCAGAAATGTAGCGATAAGATAATGGTCGTCGGCGGGTCGACCTTCCGATGTTTAAACGTAGAAAAAAAAAGACATTGCTCAGTTCTGAAACTGGTACGAAAGTACGATAAAGAAAACGAAAAACAGAGTTCACAGTAGAGTACGGGATTCCGAAAAACTCGTTACAAGCACGAGGTACGTCTGTACTTATGTGTAATAACTGTTAATCATAATTTACCATTTCTCCTCTGTCTCCCTTTCATTCTTTCGTTACTAACCATTAACCTTGACGTTGCCATAGCTCATCGAGAGGAGCGTAGTAACACGTGCACGAAACACGCGAACGCGATCATTTACGAGAATACACAGGATACGACGAAATCGTACAAGATTCAAATCGTTCGCCATCCATTTATCAAATTTCTGTTTTTTTTTTAAATCTGTTCTTTCACAGATCGAATGTCGAGCTTTCTCCCCGTCATACCCATCGGACCAACTTGGTCATTTGATATTCGATGATTGAATGAGATTCATTGTTTCGCAGACAAGTGATCTCGACATGGTCTTCCGGTACCGGAGGCGCCGGAATAATTGGCGCGCTCTCATATGCCTTCCTCACCATGTGGCTGAGCAACGAGGATACGTTGTTAGTTATGTTAATCATACCGATCATACAAGGAATTACTTTCTGGTTGGTTCTGGTTCATCCGCCGCAGTCAAGTATACCGATCACTAAGAATGGTATCGACAGCCAAGAGCAGATCATCGAGGTCCATAGAAAGAGCTTTAAAGAAAAGATCAATCTGGTACCGGGCTTGCTGAAGTATATGATCCCGCTCGGGCTCGTCTACCTCTTCGAATATTTCATTAACCAAGGACTGGTAATGCTTTTTTGTTTTCACGCGCTTTCAGTAGAATTCTACCAGCCGTTTCGGCCGTTTTAGACGAGACACTCGATGAATTTCGTTTTAACGATTCACTCGGACTCTATTGAAACTTTCATACTAACAACATTCGACGTACGCTCTTTTATCGATATTCGTCTATGTCTAGGGGTGAAGACAGTTATCGCACCAGTGAAAAATATCTTTATGCAGACACTTCAGAAATTATTGAGTGCACATGAAAATACTTTCGACAAGAATTCTGTATTTCGTGTTAATGATTAATAATTTTGACAATTGTTTTCATACCCTGAACATGGATAATTATCGATGGCGAAATATACGTGTGCTGCTTTTTATTTTCTTTCGCGGCGATCTGGCCACATCTCGATCGCTATTGCATCAAAAGTCTTGTAGCAAGTTTCGATCTAATAATACATTATCGCAAGTATAAATACGTAATCGATGATTAAGTAAGCCGTGTTTTGATCGATCCGTGTAAATATAATTTGCAGTACGAGCTCATTGAATTTGATGGAATTTGGTTGACGCACGCCGAGCAATACCGTTGGCTTCAGGTGGATTATCAGATAGGAGTATTTATATCTAGATCATCCGTCAACATTGTGACGATTAACAAAATCTGGATCATGGCTGTCCTCCAGGTAAGAATTTGTTTACCTAGTCGGGGGCACGATCGACATATCAAGATCGAGAATGACATGGTTTTATAACGCATCATGTTTGTTTCAGTTTATCAACGTCATAATTCTACTCTTCGAGACGTTGTTCTATTACATTCCGAGCATTTGGATTGTGTTCGCGTTCGTTTTGTGGGAAGGTCTTCTCGGTGGCGGAGCGTACGTTAACACGTTCTATCGCATGTCCACAGAGGTAATATAACATTATTAACTGACCTCATATCGGGATACAATAGAACTTCCAGTGGCAATAGCTACAGTCTCCGGAAGAACAGATCACGAATAGGAATGATATAGTTGTTTTATCTGCACTTTTTTGTCGATTAAACTATGTACAGTAACACCCCGAAGTTACGTCATGGATTATACAACTTTATATTAATCTGAGCTAATCGGTTCTTTGATAGCAGATCTAAAAATAAAGTGCTAATTTATTGCTAATTAATACTGTTTTATTCATTAAACTAAACTATAAAGATACTTCTGTGACATACAAGTGACAGGTAAGATATGTGACAGAAGGGGAAACAATGTATAACGTAAGTGCGAATTTCCATAAATCGGGAGAGCGTAAGTCGGGGTATTACCATATTTAAAAGGCGACCTAAGTAACGGAGGTTCTGTTGTAACACGCATCAGTAGTATTTCTTCGAAATTGTTTCTTTAAATATTAAAACGTACTTCCCTTTTCTTTCCTAGATTCCGAGAGCGGACCGCAAAATCTCGTTGGGAATCGCGACGATGGCCGATTCGATCGGTATCGCGTTGGCGGGATGGATGTCGATGCCGGTTCACAACGCCATCTGTAGATTGCCGCAGCCGACCCGAGTGGGCAGCTAGGAATGTGCACACGTAACATAGTATTTCGACAATGATCATCCGACCATGCACGACCGTACGCCTCTGCCGTCAGAGCATTCGATATTTATTACCGTACGTCGTCTTCGAAACACAATTACGGCCTCGATAACGCTCGGACAACCGAGGATATAAGTTCACGTCGTCTGTGACCGTTTAATACACCGTAGAAACTTTCAGATTGCATAGCACGCACAGGTTAATACCGTGTGATTATCCGCTTGATACCTCATGCACACTAACTACCAATTTAACAACGTCAAACAGACAGGATGTGTAACTCGATCCATAATCGAGGAAGAAGCAAAGTCGAAAACGTCGAAATTCTCGTTTACATCGAAGCAACAGGCGGAAGCGACCAATGGGACGTAAGTTCCGTTCGACGTTCTCGTGAATGAAAGTTCAACTCGCTAGGTTATAAGTTCGATCGTTCTGAGATTTATTTGGTACAAATATTTAAAAGACTAGGAACAGGTGTGTGTATCTTACAGAATGTCTGCGTTTCGTTTTAGTCACGTTCGTCCCGGCGGCGTGTTCGAAACTCGCCCGTCGACGAACAATATTCGACGGACGATTTTTCTCGCAGATGTAAGGTATAACTGCGAGCTTGCTCGTTTGTACGTGAGTGTAGTGTGTGTGTTTGCGTGTGGATATATGTGTGCCCGACGAAAAAACGGATATACTGCAACGATATCGTGAATGCGACCCAAGTTTCAGGTTATGGCTGCATGCGTACACGTGAGTTTTATACATTTTAAAATCTAATGGAGTCTTTACTGTACTTTTTCGTTTTTCGTAGCCGTTAGGTTTAATGACGTCTTGTTATTGCTCGTTCGGTGATAAGAACGACACCAGTATTTTTAGTTAGGGTAACGTCAATCCTTTGCTACCTGTACCGTAGGTGTTTTCTGATGAGACGGTTCGATTACATGACTCTTTGATCTTTTACGCGGGAGACGCTTATTATCATAGCTGGACTATTCATAACGAATCCATATACTTTCCATTCTTAGAGATTGCTAATGAAACAGAAAAGATGGAAAGTTAGAAACATCTTCGGATCAGTGTCTCGCGTGAAAGAGCTCTTATTTTTATTCACAATCGTACGCGTGCATGTCTTTCATCTATTTCTTTTTTTTTTTCTTGTTAAATATCGTTCGACCAGCGATGACGAGAACCATCGTCATTAGCTCGTTCGTACGATTTCACATCCTATTCGATGCTATTTTTTATAGCAGCCAAACGTTTCCGTTATTCTACATAACTATTCTTCCCAAACGAAATCTGTACGTTCTTCATTCTTACAGAACAATCCCCTCGCGAAAAATGTCAAAACATTCCTCATCGAGATGTACGAGCACGCGTAAATTACTATAATCGAATCACGGAAAATACATGGAAACATTTCTGTTTTTGTTTTCTATCAAAATAAATCCGCCTCCTTTTTCCTGAATGCGTATTGTATAAATGTGATATATCGATAGTACTGTTTCCTACAGATATTGCAATATATACACAGGTATATATATTTATATGCGAGATATTATATCGTTCACTACGCCATAATATATTTTCGTCGTTGTGGAATTGGAACTGCTCATGACCGCGTTCGGGAACGAACGTCGCTGTTCCTGAGTCTGTCATGTTCGTTTATTACTATTATTATTATTATTATTTTATAAAAAGAATGAATGGAATTGTAGCGTGACGAATAGACGATCGAATCATTTGTACACACCGTGTAACAGTCGTTGCGACCACGTTCGAAATAAATTCGCTGAAATCGTTTTTTTTTTTTCAAAATGCTTGCATTCTTCGTATCTGACACATTCATGGGCGTGCTCAGTTTGTGCTCGATATCGGAACCAAGGTCAAACGCAAACGAACGACCAACGGAATGTCCTTCGAGCAGTTAGGAACTCTGTTTCTCTTTTTAGAAGCTTGTCGCATGCATTCCCTAATAAATGCACTCGCATGCGATCCAACTAAAGAATTAGCCACTTCACGTTGAAGACGCGATCAATTATTCTTTCACGCCTACGCGAACTTCTACGAACAATTTATTCGTAAATTTCTTTAGATACACATTTTCGTTCGTAATTATTAAGACACTCGGTACGTAACAGTATCAAGTGTACTATAAATCCATAAAATCTGTGGTCCAGTTATAGATCGTGTGCTAATTCAGATTTTTAGACTAATTTATACGAACAATTCTTAAATAAATACGTGGTTTTTTTATTGAAGATTTTATTAGATTAAAACTAAAATAGAGGCTTTCCGAAACTCTATTAAAGTTACTGTCATACCGCGATTTGCATTTTGATATATGCTATAAATGCAGTCTGGTTATACTTTGTGAATTTTACTGTAAATTCTTACTTTCATATATTATTTTATAAAAACCAGAATGCTAGAAAAATAAAATTAAAAGGCTATACATTTTTGTTGAACTACAAATGCTGTGGTATTCAACACGTTTGTAAATCTAACAAATGTAAAAGGATCCACAATCCTTTTTACAATACCATCGTATTCGATAAGTGTCCTAATATTTACGGAAAGGAACGTTGAAAAATTAATTTCTTCTCTAAAATTCCTCTAAATAACCACAAAATCTTTTGATATCAGTCGCTCATATTGTCTCGTATTGGCTTCTACGTTTTGTAAAATCGTCTCAAAACTGAAAGGAATGAACACGATTGTCTTCGACCAGGGACACGGAAATGGCACGAACGATTGCCACTTTGTAGAAATACCTAGGAGCAATTTTGATTGGCCTCGCGTGTAATCCCGCGATCACGCGCATCTCTCGAGGATCAGCTTCCCAGACTCCTCGTACTCTTGCCGTGACAGCCACATCTGCTGGAAGGATCCAAGGGAGCTAAGGATCGATCCGCCGATCCAGGCACCGTAACGACGCTCACTCGAACTGTTTGCGCTCATTATTTTCAGTCTCATGCTCTGAGAAAAAATGGAGATCTATATTTCTGCTGGCCACTTAATATTTACTTAAAACAATCCTTACCGGGGGAGTTTTGCTAGCCAAGTCTCGATTCAGTCTTTCGCTAAAGCCTTGTAGGCAGGAGTTGCCACCGGTGACCACGACGCTTCCATATAAGCTCTAAAACAATTCATTGTTCATTTCACTCTACTTATTCAACGTTTGATTATCTATTCTTTGTATTAAAGATAAAGTGTCTCACAAAACACTAACAGTTCATGAAAATATATGTACATGAGACGAAATACTACCATTGTCCAATAAATGGACTCTTGTCCATTTTATTACGATAGAATATTCAGTTTCTTCAATTGTTTTTGCTTAACATCTATCAATGAATTTAAAAAGGATAACAAACTCTGATCACTGACGAAGAGGAGGATTCTATACCAGAACCATCTAATAATACGAATGAAGTTTACTTGAAGGAGATACCAGAAGGAAATTACGAATTTTTCCACTGAATCCACCACCATGATATAAATGGAAAACTTACTGGTCTAATGTCCATATCACACATGCCCACACTGGTCGTGACGAGTGGCCCAATCCCGAGAATGCTGGCGCCGACACCCTTCACGTTGCTGGGGTCGAACAAGGCTTCCGGAATCATTAGTCTCACCGAACCGAAATCGTCGTTGTAGCCGGTTGGAAACTCATAGTGTTTCATTGGCAAGGAGTTTGCTACGTCTTCGTCGTACGGGCTGTCCGAGACTTGAAGAACGTTCATCTGAAAGTCTTGCAACAGCTCTCGGATCATGTAGCTTAGCCAGGAGGATGACGGTTGGGGACCGCCTCTTCTGACCCAACGGGGTGTCTCTCTTTCGCGGACCACGTCTGTGGAATTTATTAACTTGTTATTTGCTGTATAAATAGAGTTCATTAGCGTTTATTTATTTATAGCAATTGTATCAGGAATGTCTTTAGTTTGAAATTCTTATGCCACCAAGGTATCTGTTACTTCTCTCAGATTAATCTTTTGTTTCCAAAATAATATTGAAAAATTGTTTATGTAGTTATTAAAAGTGTTCCAAAGTAGTCGTGGAATTTTTCATCTCTAAGACGAGTCGTCTGTGGCTAAGGTTTAAATCCATACTCATTGAATATATAATAGAATGTGATCGGAATTTATAGAAGTTAGCGGTGAATCAATAGTATTGTTCATATATACAGTTGGACCTTATCCGAACATGCTCGATTCTTATTAGATTATCATCACACCAGAATAACTGTCAGTTAAAGTCTACGGTCGAAAAACACTCGTAAGGCGTATGTAGATCAGTAAAGAGCGCAATAAAGTTAGAAGTATCGGACCCCCTGCTGTTTGTAAATGGACTGACAAACATGACCTCGTGGCAGCTCACGAACAAAAGACTCTAAAAATAGCGAAAGCTTTTGATACAGTGCTGGGTTTAGAAAAACGCTGGGACCTAAATACTCGCGGGTTCTTTCAGCGGCGTAAGTGCCCGTAAGTGTCCAATAAATCCGTCCAGCGCGTGCGACACAGCTGCGCGCGGGCATTGAATGCGCGCAATCAACGTATTACGACTCAAGTGCTCTGCACACAGCGCGCGCTCATCGCTCGAAATGCGCACCGACAAGGACTAACTGCCGCCCCCTATTGTGCCCCAATAATCGTCGTTCTCTGTTGCGCCAAGCGCTGCCTTTTGTGCCCGTGTTCGTCCTTTTGACGCGTTTGGCGTCAATTGAAGTCAATATTTAACATGTGCATCAACATCGACGTCAATTGTGTTACACCAGGTGTCCAATGACTCGTGGTAGTGTCCGATTTGAAAGCGAATCCAATTCGATAGCGACCATATTTGATTCTGATCGAAACTCGTGTCGTTTTTCATCGGCCTTCGATACGAAATTCGTTTGTTCAACAAACTACCTTTGTTTCACACAGCGATACCAACCTTTTAGCTGGAAGTGTATATACAGATGGATTTCCCCGTATAAATACACTGGTTAAAACAATTAGGGGATCGCTATCGCGTGGAGGAGCAGCTATTGCTCCATTTAATCCCAGAAAATGATACGAACGCTCATAGGTCTGAAAAATTAACATTTTTCGCATATAAAGCTGCGTCTCCATTGTGCCGATCGGCAAAACCGATCGAGAAAATCAAACATATGTCATTGGCACGTGCCAAAAGGCCGCCTGGCATAACGGGGACACAAAATAGGCCGATCGGTTTTGCCGGTCGAGTTTGCTGATCGGTATAATGGGGACGCAGCTTTATACCGACACCTAGTTTCACTTAACACCTAGTCAATGGCATGATAAAATTTCCAAGAATTATACGTGGTATTGACAGACATAGTGGCTCTAATATATGATCCTCTAATTCTCGTCAGCAGTGTATATTGGATTAAATAAATTGATCGTTAATGAAAAACAAAGATTTGCCTTTGCTGGCGACCAGACAGGCGGGCAATAGCTCGACATCCTTCTCTTCGAAGAATTGTCTGCATTGCATCGTGATGAAGTCACCTCCCAACGGGCTTTTCACGATTCCTTGAGTGATGACATAACCGTCGTGAACAGGGACCGCGCTCGTGTGCGTCGCGCCGCTGTCGACGACCATGGCCGTCGATCGTCCGTTTGCATATGCCGCCAATACAGCGTTCTTGCAGATGTACATGGCCGGGACGTTGAACTTTTCGAACATCAGCTCCAGTAGCTTCTCCCGCTTCAACCTCGTGTTCCATGGGCATTCGGTCATCAGGATCGGATGGTGTTCCGGTAGGGCGTGCAGACGCTGCTTGTAGGTGTATTCTGTCAGGCGTTCGAACATGTCCCAGCCCTCGATCATACCGTCTTGCATTAGACTAATCAAATCCATGTCTGCGAAAAAGATGATTATTCTTTTTATGGCATTCGAACACGTAACTCGGGTTATCTTAATGTATCTATTGAATGAACGTTATTGGTATTGTGTGAAAAAGTGCATCATGGAAGTGAAGTGTACTAAAGATGTATCATGTGATCTACCTGTACAAGTGGTTGCAGATGTAATTGATCAGTCTGTGATAATGTAGCTAGAATTAAGAAATGAAATGTGATGTGAACATCAATAGTTTTGCTATATTTTATGGTAATTATAAGAAAAGTGTTATGGTTGATGTCAATCGTAGGACATTTATACCGATAGTCTATTATGCGGTTAGTATGAATGATCAATTTTAAGGATTTGAAATATATTCTTACGTTACTATGCAAGGAACTCATTGTTTCATTCTTCTTCGATATATGTGTAATAATTTTCTAACGAAGCATAAGAATCGGTCGATGTTTATATGTATATCATTGTTTAGTAACGGATTATTTAACTTTAACACACGGTATACATAACAATTCTTTTAAAAGCAGGTCAAAAAGTTCCGATATTATTATTTACTTTCTAAACATCTGAGAAAGATCTGTAGCGTAGAATGTACTAATCTATAAAGATTCTTACTAATCTCCGTTATTAACATTTAACAAAGATTTACATACATGCCCGTTAGTAAATGCGAGGACGTTTCACGAGCGCGAAATATCCCCAGTAACTGGTTACGAAATGATTAAATGTATTAAGAATATATTGTTTAGCGAACGCTAAAATTCAACAGATAATTCTCACACTAATATAAGATGATCAAATTTATACAACGCATAAAATTTCTATGAACTACCACATTATCTGAAGTCAGAACAGGTGTCTTAAGACTTATGAATGAGAGTGTATATCTATTCACAGTAAACACTGACAAATATTATATCATTTAACGTCGGGACACTGTACAAAAAATTCTTTGAAAACGGTGTCTGAAGCGATTCGGAGACAAACAGCGAAAACAAAGTTTCGATGGATTCGAAATTAAAAATGAAACAATCGTACCCTTCTTCCGCACTTGGATGGCCGTGACATCCATGTTGTAATGCTTCCTGACGGTCTGATTGCCGTCTGGTGTTTCGATGCTGTCCTCCCATATCCCGAGGGTGGTCGGGATTTCGGCCTTCGGCGTGTCCTCACCGCCATAACCAACGCGTAGGCTCTGGTGTCCAACGTCGAAAATGATAGCACCGACCTCGTCTGCGGGCAAATCGTTTCGATTAAACGTACTCCATCGTCAGTGTCGCACGTTTTTTACGTGAAAAACAGGGACCGCGACGCACATACCTCCACCGTAGACACCACCGCTCATAGTATCTGAGAGCTGGAGCGCGTACGCGCCTGCGCGTCAACCCTCTTCGACCTCCGCCGGTCCATACCCCTTTCTCCCTCGAGCCGTACATCGTGGATTCTGCAACCCCACGCTCGTCCCAATGTATGTATTCCTTTTGCATATCCGAATCGACGATCGGGAGGAGGACGAAACGCGATCGATCGTACTCCCCCGTTTGTGAAAGGGCTTTTCCGTGTGTCGCTGTGTGCCTTTTGTCCGGAGGAATTTATTTTTCAGTCTCCTTTTTTCGAAAAATAAAACGAAAAAAAAAGAAGATTTTCGAACGCGGAAGAATCTTTAATAATATGAAATTTAATATATTTCTGTTGTGCTACGCGTTTAAATTCAGAGCACGAGGGGATGGAATAATCACAAGACAAATGGATTTCCATTATGGAATTAGTGTTGTATATTTTACAAAGTAAATAGAATATAAACAATCTAAAGTCGTCTAAAACACAATAGTACGAATTTCGTGGTAAATCATTTTTTCCATATATTATAAAGTATACGATTTGTCAACAGATCGATATCTTTTGTTTTTGTTTTTTTAAGTTTTTTCTTTCTTTCATTCGTGTCCCGCGGGTGTCGCGTGCTTGAACCCCGGTTGTTCAGACATAACGAGAAAGAGCCACGAGACTCCAAAAATCATCGTCACATTGCCGAGTGAACGATCGATTGGCTTGTGTACAGTGAACTGATTCTGATGGTAACATATGTATAGGTGGGTGCGGTATTTTTTCTGACTTTCTCCATTCATTTAACGACGATCGAGCAACTTCTCGTCACCGGTGCTCTTCCCCAAATGTTTCTCTCCTTTATCGTGTCGGATCGGTCCGTCGATCGTTAATCGACGCGCGATTATTCGAGGATCGCGATGGAAATATTGAAATTTCACACCTCTTTATTTAATCCTCTCACATAATTCCGGGATCGCGGTTCCGGTTGGAGGTACATACACGTACGTACGGTTAGCATGTTATTACAGACACCTTATAGACGATACGGTTGCTTTTTTTTGGGTTTCATCATCAACGGTTAAACTTTACGCTATACGTCTGTCTACTAAAACGTTTCAGTCTCTCTGTAATTGAAACGACATCGACGACAACGACGAACATCATGGCATTTATTTATTTTACTTTTTTTTTTCATTTCATTTCATTTCATTTATCGCTTAATTCGCCCTATCCACGTAGCTTCTTAATTTTTATACACGTATAACACACTCTCCACGCGGGTAGAGAAGAAAAACACGCTTCGGCTTTATCTCGAACGCAACGATGCGTCGCGACGCCGTGTATCGTTCCACGTTCTGAACGGGAACGATGCTGGAAATCAGACTGATTATAGAACCGATTCATACGGAACTGGAAGACCAAGTAAACACGTAACAAACCGCGTGTGTATATTGCTCGCCGGGATATGTGCTTGATGCAATGAAATGTCTCGTTTACTCGTGATCTTGCTGGAACGTAGTCTTCTTCGATAGGACGTTTCGCGTTAATTCGACGTACGCGTTCGTTACGATAATAAAGATAATAGGAGGCTCCCTTAGAGGGAGTGAACCCTTAAATCACTTACAGACAAATACTTTGTCGCAGTCTTTGCGTGAAACAGACTCAAAAGGACGTCGTAGTCGTGCTGCGAATCAGCGTTGTCCGAGCATTACTCGCGTGTGAAAGTAAGCTGTGCTTACTGTACTTTCTTTGTCAAGGGACCTACATGGTAAATGGGTCACCGTATACTAGAGACGAGCAACATCGTCAGTTACATAACGAATTATTATAACTTGACTTAATTTTTATAAACTGAACAGTATTAAACAGATTATGAACGTAAATAAAAGAGAGTACAAAGTTTTAATCACTAAATCGGCAATACATTTATGTCTATAAGTAGTTGCCACTAAATTTGATTAAGCTGCTGAGACATAAATGGCCGACCACCATTCACGTCTCTAACGACACAATATTTTCAAAATACTGATCGTAAGAACGTATTTTAATTGTATAAACTTTAATTCTCATCATCTCGTGGAGACAATATCAGAGACAACAGTAACCATAACATGTTAAAACAGCCATTTATCTCCCACCAATCTAATAGTGAAAGAAACATTATACAATAACTAGCAAGAGAAATGTAAGACACAGTACCGTGGCATTTAATTGGTACGAAGAACAAAGTACTTTCAGATTATAATTGTTTTAGTCTTAATCAATCGTTCAAACGTAATTTCACCCACGTCTGTCCAAACACGCAATCCATAAAAAGTTTTTCTCGCGGAATCGATTTTCTTTTCATCTCTTCACTTTCCCTTAAAACAATCGTACTCTTCTCATCAAGCAAACAGTCTCCGATAGTTTTCAGTGAACTCACAGATTGGTAAAAAACGATAATGAATCTTATCGAGGTCGGAGGGTAGTCGAACGAAGGGATCGTCGGACAGCGCTGCTTCGTGCAATAATATCAACGAGAATCCCGGCCGCTTCTTCAGAAGCGGGGCAAGTAAAATCTCTTATAGAATAATCGCTTTCGTTTTAAAAACGGAATGGCAGTCGATAAATTCGATCGATAAAGTTCTCGCGAACCGTGTGGCGAACGAGGACGTTAAAAGTCGTGATCCTCGCTCGATCGAGGTTCAGTGATTCGCCTCGCGATTCGCTTGGAAGTCCCGTGAAACCGAGGGAAGAAAACCGAACGTGAACAAGTGGTCGCGCGAGTTCGCGAGCCGGCTCGAACGAAATGGCAGTTCGAAGAACACAACAAGAGAGTCGAGTCAGTTCGATTTGCTCTAGGATCACGGATTTGCACCGTTTTTTTTTTTTTTCTTATTCGGCATGTAGGCCAGAGGAACACGAACAGTTTGGGAGTGTAGATCATCGACGGCCGATTCTGTGACGGCCACAGATGTTTTGTAAGTAACGAAAGACGGACCATGGGGTTTCCTTTTTGTTTCGCTTCGTTTCTCTTTACATCAAGAACAGTTAGAACGAGGGGGGTAGGTGTGGTTAGGGGGTGGATTTTCGACGGTTTCGCCGCAACGTCGTGGGAGGACAGGGTTCACCGTAGGTTCTACAATTTTTTCCTTTCTTTTTTTATTTACACTGCGATCACGAAGTCGCGGATGTGTCGTTGACTGCTGTGGCCGCGGTCGCACTCCGCCTCGCTTAGCTCAAACGCGTCGGAGAACCCCGAGGGTGGGTCCAGCTTGGGGATGAACAGGTTTCCCGATCCGTCACGCTCCTGGTCCCGATTGGAACAGGAATTGTGCGGCTGGTGCTTGGAATTGCCAAACCCGGAGATTGGGCCGAAGTTGGAACGGGCCTCCTCACTGGTACGACGTGCCAGCTGTAACATCCTGATCGAGCACGGATGTCGATTATTCTGACCTGATCTTTGCGTCCCGTTCACTAAACGATCCTGCCTTATTTCGTATAAAATTATAATGTCGGAAATCATATTTGTCGAATAGCTGTGTTTCTGGCAAATACGGCGTAAATGTTGATATAACTAAAAATCAGAAGCTTCTACGTACAAAAAGGAACCGAAAATTAAGAACGTGGTTTGCATAGAGCTTTCAAGAGAATTAAAGTGGAAATTTTACGTACGTTCTGTTTAAGTTTTATATTGAGTAGAAATATTTTATTCAGTATGGGAAACGGATTTTACTGACACTAATTAACGTTCATCTGGCTAATGCTGGAAGATCTTTTACCTGTGTCTTACGGATGTTTACGTACAGCTACATAGTCGATTCTATAGAGTGTTGCATTTTTCCAAGCTTGGAAATTGTGCAGATGGCGAATGAAGAAAAAGTATGTATTCTTTATATACTTATAACTATTACTAGTATTATATACTTAGTTATATACTATATAACTATTATTCTCGAAAATGTGTAAGATTCAGTCACAGGAAAAATATTATCTCAGTAACCTTCTGAGGGTGGGCGCAGTGTCGTATGAAACTTACTTGGATTTTCCCCGTCCAGGAAACGATTTTCTCTCAAAAATCGGTGAGGGTTCTGTAGACGTGCTAGATTCTGGTCCATGGTACAGGAAGTCTGGAAACAGAAAATGATCCGGGTTTTCCTCAGCGAACCACCCTGATGCGTTTCGCCTCCTCGGGTCTCGTTCGTCTCACGACAACAACAAGCTCAGTGAATGCTCGGTCACATTATTGGTGCACTCTAATGAACGTAGACAGGCAACGGGAACGGACTTCCGGTGGTTCTGTGCGTGAACGATATCGCGGCTCTCCTCCTCTTACTTTATACGAGACACTGCACGATGTCTATTATTCGTTTTTGATACTAGAACCACGTCTCTAGCTGGTGGACTGCGAATTTTTATGTAAATACAGATTTTTATGGGCCAGTTTACAAAAACTGCAATGAAACAAAAAATTGTTTAACCAGAGATCCATTGAATCACTCACAAAATTAAAGCCTCATTAAACTTTAATTTAATGGGGTTTCGACCTATTAAGGGTTCCATCGAGTTCAAAATGGAACAATAATGGAAAAACAAATACTGGTAAGCGACAACAGCGTATACGCGTTCAGCTAATCATCATGAATTTAACCATCGCATTTCGTAACCCAGCCCCCCCCCAACCGGATCGTTTACTTTCGAACCGCTTCGTCCGTAAAGGGTTGAACGGATCAAGGACCGTCATCTGCAAAGCTGATAGTAATTAACAAATATTACGATCCGTACCATCGAATGGTATACCGTGACGCGACAGACATAGTGGCGAGTGATCAAACCGTTCAATCGGCTTTAAACATCCGACGAGGTATCAAACAGTTCAGGCCCAGTTTGATCATGACGAGGGGTTCGAACTTAAGGCCGCTTTCAAACAGTCTGATGACATTTAACACTCTAAACCCTTGATCCACTGTTAACTGCGGGGCAAGGAGGGTGTCGATAAATAACTGACTCTGGGTACTTCGATACCCCAACGTTTCGAGACGCTGCAAGTTTAGAGCGTTTCATCAAACTGTTTAGAAAGTTTACAGTGGCTCGAGACTTTGGATTTTGAAACGTCATCATACCGTTTGAGAACAATCTTCAGTTTGAACGCCGAGCCGTGATAAAATTTTATTTGAACTGTTCAAACTCCTCGTCGGAAGTTTAGTTCAAACATATGCGAAAAAGTTTGTTCTCAGACCCACCACTAAGCGCAGGTCTCGTGGAGGAGAGGCTCGCGGACGCAGAGAGGACGCAGACCACCCGGACAGATCAGAGTACGTGAGGTAAAGAAATAATAAGAGTGGCCGTAAACCGAATAGAAAGGATGAAAGATTGCATACTGTGGACACGCGAGTCAGCCTCAGACACCGAGTGGTGCGAATCGACGAGGTGATTGGAAGACTCGGTTCGGCTGCTGGTCCCGACTTCCGTGTCGCTATCCGAGCCCAGGGTGTCGTACCGGTTGCAATCCGACTGCAATCAGACGGAATTGTTTTTGGTCGATGAATTGGCACGTCGCACGAGGAAACGAGGGTGACGCGCCACACCGATCTTTCGCTCAATGATCCACTCTCCCTTTGCTCACAGCTAGGCTAGAGATCTCGTAGATCAGAGCCATCGTCGAGGAACGATGTTACGATGTTTTTACGAGCCATTCAGAACCGGTGCTGTCCAACGCGAGCCTGGACAACTTAAACTTATTCCACCCCCCCACCCCCACAATCGAGGCTACCGTTTGACATTATTCCTCGTTGTCTGCTTTCATGTGAGATGGCCAAATTTATTATTGTCTGTATGAAAAGTTTCGAACAATGAATTATTTTTCGAAATCAAATATTTTGCTTAAAGTAAGTGATCATGTGTAATACCACAGACGAGATATAAGAATAGACCTAACATCTTATGGGACTTGGTGTCCCACGAAAATCAGGCAGGTTAGAGCGCACCTCTACATAAAAGTTTCCGATATCAGGAATTACATTCGACACCGTGATAATGCACAGCATACACACACCCGTAACTGCATATAGGTTTCGCTAGCAAGGAATGGAATTCCGAAATGGTACGGGGGCTTCTGATGTTGGATTGTTACTACATAATTATAATGTGTCAGCTAGTAAGCAAAAATGAATAGTGTTATGTATGAGAAACACTGTTTTAGTCAAAATGATACAATAGACCGGATTCCATCGGACCCGTAGGCCTGCAACGTTTCGACCTGAGGGCTGGGTAATAAACTGTATGCAGTTCGGGTCTATTTTCTTTCTTAAGTGGACGACTGACTCTCGGTCGTGCTCTTACGGATTTTTCTTCACTTCGAGTACGATTTCCAAAGCATTAAGACGTCCTTCAAGCCAAGAAATAAAAGTAGTAGAAAAAGAATGTATAGTATTTACTATTTATTTTAACCCATTTCCAATATCTGACGCCCCCGAAGCATGGGATAAAAAATTACCTATGGAAGGTTAGGTCTATCCTTATATGTCGTCTGTGGTAATACTTACACAGTGACTCGTTTGTTCGAACACTTTCGAAATAGTAATTAAGTGTGAAAATTTTTCTGTGAATACTTATGCATTTATAAAACATCTGATCGTTTAAAATTGAATACAGTAAAAAGTTTCAGCAAAATTTATTCAGATTTTCTTGTTATTTAGAATCTACTAGAACCCTTGATAGGGTACATCAATTTTCTTTTGTGTCTAGTTTCGAGGAAATAATAAAATTCGCAGTTAATTTATTATTTCTACTACTATCATACTTTAGTATTATGAATTCGTTTCTTGAAACATTCTACATCATTTTTACCGGGTATTAAATTGAGAGGGTAATCTAACTCTCAAAGACTACACTATATTATCGTATCGATTCGACGACACATGTGTTGGTGTAACCCACAGTGTTTTTTGCCCATATCTCAAATATATAAGTAATTTAGTCACAAATCCTTTGACAAAACATCACAGCCTTAACTTGCCACACTTTACCGTTCAGAAATGCCAAGTGTCTGTCGGACGTATTGGGTTACCGTAACACAGTGTAGTCTTCGAGTGTTAATTTCAAACAATTTTAAATTCTATTCTGTTCAACCACATAATTGGTCGTTCATCGGTACAGCAAACAAATGCTTAATAGTTTCAGCATCTCTCTTTCCGCTCGTTTTCCATTACTGAAATAATAGTTTGCCCATCTCTGGTTTCAACAGACACCATATTCTCTCTTACGTTCCACGTAAGCAGAACACACAACGAGAGAAAAACACCGAATCCGCGTAAGAGGCACCATCGCTAAGAACAGCACCGGTTCGAAGCCTGTCAATTGATACTTTCTTCGTTTATCTATACTACCTATAATAATACCTTTCGCGAAGTCTCGATCCACTACAGGAACAAGCGAGCAGAAACCTCGGAACGGGTACGTTCGAATGGCGCTGATCTAGGAACGATCCACATACTACTATCTCTATAATGTGATGTCGAACAACGAATTACAACATGATCGCACACGATGAATTCGATACAGGTTAGAGAGCGTTTCTTATGCTACGGCTAGACGAGCTATGAGAAGAATCGGCGAGAGATGTGTAAGAAATGGCGAAATATACATATGGTAAAGAAGTATGTATATCGTTTGGCGTCGGTGTTGCGGTTCCTCGATGGACTTGATCGGGACAGATGCGAAACGAAGCAAGGTGGGACCAGCAGTCACAACGATCGATAATTTCACTATTTGATGCACACATCTGTATATCTACTCGATCGGAGCGCCGGCACGGCTCGCGTCTCTAATGACTCTCTCTTTCTCTCTAAATGCCCTCCCCCGCGATCGTTCGACGTTCGACGACAGCCTTCTTGGATATCTAGATATCGTAGGACAAGACTTCGACATTCCCGGATTGTTCCGCGGTAAAAAAAGAAAAATAAGTATGCATAAAACGATCCTCGTACCCGTACGATTTTCGAAGGAGTCTCGAACTGCGATCGAGATATCGTGCGGTGACGCGGTTTCGAGCGGAAAATTGGTGGTTAAGCATGCTCAAGCGAATTCGTACACCCTTCTCCATTTTGGCTACGTGTCACGGGTTCTTCTTCTCCATTGGTTCTATCTCACGGTCGCTCGGGAACACACACAATGAGGTTTGGTGAGAGGTGGGGTGGAAGCGAAGCTTTAAGAGGGACGTTTCCTTTGAGGAGAGATAAAAGATCGTACCAGTTCGTTCTTTTTTTTTTTTTTTGCAGCCGTGTGCGATAACTCAATGATGTACGCGGTGTTTCACTGAGGATCGTGTAACGAGTCTTTACATACGAGGATAATCAGTTTTCTTGATAGAGTAGGGGATGAAATTTTTTGCTCGAGAGGAGTTGAGTGTTATTGTGTTTTATTTTAGTAGATCGTGTATTATCCTGTTTGTAGGTGTTGGAACTTAGATCAGTTATTGCAGACGAAGTGGATCTTAGAAAGTGTAATATAATTTAACTAATTATTGAAGAGGATTGAAAATTGCGTGAGGGCTGGTGGTCTGTACTTGTGTAGATAACGCGACAAGAAATTTGGCAATTGGAAATCCATTCCAGAAGGTTAAAAATTAACGGAAACAAGTCCATTAATGTTTTGTATTCATCAATTATATCAATTTGTGAAACACCATGTACAAAATGTGAAATATATCTCTTTCCTTTAACATGTTCACTGCGACACGAAAGATACGTCTTCGATTTAAGAATGGAGCTAACAGAATAGTAAAAAGTACACAGAGCCTCTCATAGTGAACACGTTAAATAGTTAAGACCGTATCGTTCGATTGCGTGACACAATCACCACATTAGTGAAAACGTGATTGATCGTCCACAAAAAAATTTCTCAATAAACTTCATCGATTTATCAATGCATCGACTTTTATCTCAGACAGTTCAACCCCGGGAAATCGAGGTGTACTGCGTGTCTGGACGAGGGAAGGGCATGCGATGTGCGCAAGTGTGTTCTCTCCAGTTGATTCGATGCTCGGATGAACAGATACGAATGGTGAATGGTGGAGAAGCGATTGGTGAATGACAAAAGCAAACTGAACGGCGGACGATACCTCTCGTAACTGAAGAGTGTCGGCGGTGGACAGACGTGGATTGTGATAGACGAACGTCTGAAGAGGCGCAGCAGAATTACATCGGCTGTCGCCACCCGGAGGAACACTCTCCTGTAGCTGGAACGTGGCGTACGGGTATATCTCGTCGGAGTATTCTGCAATCATGTTACAATATGGTTTTTCTGTTTTTAATGGACAGTTCGTAGTTTCTAATTCAAAGTTCAATGCTTTCATTTCGTATAAACAAACTATTACTGTGTTGATTTTTCATAGATAGCCCTTTGTTATTTCTCATGGCTCTAGATGACGTTGTTTAATTTTGAGTGACACTGGATGGATCTGTATGGTCTTGAATGGCATTAATTAAATGCTATAGGATTCGATTACGTTAAACTGGCCATTGAAACTGGATATAACTTTCTATGAATAAGATACACTTCAACTTATACCTACGCTATATCATCGTAGAATCTGTAACAATACGTAATGACTAGGATCGATCTTGAATGACACTAACGTGACATTGTTAGCATTCTTTAAAATATTTTTCATCAACGTCACATGTTAGTATTTCGGTAGAAGATTGCCATTCAATTTATAAAACCAGCAATAGAAAGATAGTTTAACAGCAGAAATTTGCACAAAAATTGAAAGATCAAGATCGTTATTTGCGAATACCAACCATTACTCGAAGGTTTCAATGAAGATTTTTCCTGATTACCTGGGATCTTTTCCAAAGTGGCCATCTCGTGTATGGGTGATCGTAGCGGTTTTCGTACAGTGGCGTAGTACTGTTCACGCTGCTCCATGTTTTGCTTGTTGTCTAAGGCGGCAGCGGTTTGGGCGTCGTGGAGGCTAGCGATTTCCCCTATAAATGGACCTACGGTCATCGTCATTAACCGGTTACGGGCGCCGTATATAGTCGGTACGCAGGATACACTGAACTCGTAAAACAGCCCATTAAAGCTGACATATATTGCAAAATCGAGACGACCAGATCCACCAAGAGGTGTTAGGAAAATGTGGAAAGTTGAGAGGTCACCGTGCCTGCAATCGTCGAGGGCTAGCTTGTTTAAAAATGACAAAGATGGCGGGTTCTCGAGTCTCGTTTGTACGGTCCTCTTTTTCCCAGATTGCTACAAATTTAGGGTTCGTTTGGAACAGGGGAATAGCATCGATCAGAAGAGGTGACTACGACATGCGCTGAAAACAGTCGCGCGCAGTGTGGTTGATCCCGGAAGAGTAATAGAAAAAGAAACCTTTCGATTCTGCTTGAGACATTCTCTACAGTCATGATGCGAGTTGTCAGATTTCCTTGTCTCACGGTTCTGTAAAGAGGGTCCATTTTAAAATGTAAGCAACATTGTTGCGGTTATCCAAGCAATTTTACGAGTTTCCCAGAACCACGTCCACCAACTATACACGCGCACGTGTGTAAGTTACACGTCTACGGTATCGAATGACGGTAGTGGGTTTCTACTAACGTTTCCGGAAACAGTAAAAGACAGCGCCGGCGGCGGTAATGATCGCTAGCGAGCACAGTATCAGCGGGATGATAAGCTTCAAATCCGAGTAGACAGACGAATGTTGCGGTATATACGGATCGATCTCGTCAGTCGGCACTGTACTGCTGGTGTGAGACTGCAAAGTCGTTATTCTATACTCGGCGACCGAGAAGCCTGCGTTATTGTGCGCCCTTATTCGGATGTCATAAGTCGTCCCAGATTGCAGCTCGCTGAGCGTGTACGTCTTTTGTACCTGAACAACGAATACATGTATATACATATATACCTGTTACTGTAATATAGAAGATCCGTGGTATTTAACCGGGCGTAACGTCTTTTCCTTTCTCGAGGAATCATCGACGGACTCACTTTGAGAAGGGTACATTTGTCTCGTTGCGAGAGATCGTTATTAAAATGAAATTGAAGCGATCGTAAGATAAATAAAAGTATATCCATTCTATATTCATTGATTTCAGATGATTTCTGTGGATCGGAAGTTGTTCGATTGAATCACTATTGCTTTTCAGAATTTCTGTAGGCACGGTTAACTATTTTTAACAGAATAACATTGCGAGTCTTTAACCGTTCCTTAACCTTTTGAGTGGTACAGGTGTACATATGCGTTGAACGGAACGTTACTCCAGGATAATATGTAATTATACATCGATATTCTATGATATGATTATAGTAAATCATCGATAAGTGTTCCAAGCCTTTGGCGCACTGAATGTTCAGACGTCATTCCCATCACTGATGGTGTCCCCCGTGGAACCAGTTAAGCGCTAAGTGGCGGGAGCCTTCGAGCACTCATCGATGATTTACTGTATCTCCTTCGTTTGATTCTGACTTCTGGACTACGATTATCGCTTGTGATGCTTATAGTCTTATGACTGTCACCAGCTAAAATATTACTCTATCTCCAGTACCTCGATGTTGTTCGACACCAATGTCCAAATGTCCTCGCCGCTTCTACGATACTCCAGCTCGAAATAGGTGATCGGGCACCCGCCGTCGTTCCACGTGCTCAGGTGCAGAGTGATCCAGGACACGTTCACCGTCACAAAATTATCACCGTTGCTCGGCGAGTCGTCAGGTTTCGATCCCCTCGTGGTCGCTTTAACGATCTCGCTCGGTGAACCCATGCCGATCCGATTGTACGCCGTCAGATACATCTGATAATCGTTGCCGCACCACAACGGCGACAGAACGAAACTGTTCATTTTCTGGGAGACCTTCACCTCCTCCCATTCGCCGGACTCACGTTTGTAGTGGAGAATATAACCCCTGATTGGCGCGCCGCCATCGTCGCCGTTCTTCCATCGGACGTTGATTGAATCACTGGTGGCGCTGGTCGCGTTCAACAACGGGGCTGCCGGCGGTACTGCAAAAGGATCGTGACGAAATTATCATTTTATACGCTTCACCGTTTCCCATTGCTAGGTTAGACGATACGGGCTTTTCGTCCGTTTCGGTACTTTTGTCGAATAACTGAATGCATAATGAAAAGTAACATATTCTCGTTTATATTGTCGGACTCGAAATAGTAGAAGTTGGATTTTCGGTGAAGACGCGGAATCGTATGAACGCTGCTATCGGAAGACGTACCAAATCGGTTAAAATCTGCATTGTCTGAACTAATAATTTTATTTTCTATGACATAATGAGAAAACAGAGAGAATATGTTTAATGTGTTTAAGTTCACTCTCTTGGAATTAAGATATTTCTTAAGGGTGTGATTTTTTAGCTGTATTGGCTAGAAAGTATTATAAGTTCTTTAACTTAGCTACCTGTAACGAAGAAAGGGTTCTTTCATCGAAAATAGAAGGGTCCTCGAGAAATTTCAAAGCGTACAGGGAGTATGAGTGCAAAGGATATTCTGGGGTTAATTTTGTCGGAATTATTAGCGAGAACAATTGAGACAAGTACCTTGCACGGTTAAACGATGCGTGATGTGGTCAGAGCCGTGACGGTTCTCCACGTAACACGTGTAATTTCCGCTGTCCTCTCTGTGAAGATCCATGATCTGCAACGAGCCCTTCTTTAACAAGGACACCCTCGCTGACGATTTCACTATCTGGCCCCATTGTTTCCATGTCACCGACGGTTCTGGCTTCCCGACGCACTGACACGGTAGCATAACGTCTTGCTTCCACGGTATGACCAGCACCGTGCCGAAAGAATATATCGCTGCTCGGACTGTAATAATCCCAAATATTCGTTAGCGCTGCCATCGTAAAACAGTTCATAAAATACTTAAATTACTCAAACTGTTTTAGGTGTTAACCTGAACTAGATCTGAAACATGACACGTTGTGTTCTCTCTCTTAATATTTTAACCATAATTTCAATAACAGACTAATATTATTCAAAATTAACAGTTATAATCTATATTAGTACAAACCAATCAAGTTTATACTAATTACAGTACAGATTAGGATTAAAATAAATACATTACAACTTCTAAGAAATAATACAATTAAAACTTCTACTGACATCGCGAGGACATTCGACAAAGTATTAATTTATCGTAAATAAGTTTCCATAAAATAAATATACGTATTCCTCTGCTACGTTTACCGATAACAATACTCTTTAAAATAAACCATGTATAAACTCTCGGTTGAATACACCATAATTCAAGCTATATTAATAAATCGCGAGTGCCTACCATCGCTCGAAGGCGAGATCGTGATGGGTTGCGTCCGTGGTCCCTCGCCCACCGAGGTGACAGCGGCGATCGTGAACTCGTACTGATTCTTGCTGTGCAAATTCTCGGCCTGATAGCTGGTATGGTGCGGCTGTATCGAGCGTTTGTACCATTCCCCCTTCGGGTCGACGCCGCGGATATGAACGTTGTACGAGGTGATGTTACCGTTGCTTCGGTGCGGCGGCTGCCACGAGACGATAATCGACGTGGCCGAGCTGGCGAACGCCTTTACGCCGGCGGGCACCTCAGGTTGGTCCTCTTTGGTGACGCAATAGAAAGGCGTCGAAGCGACTCCATCGCCGGCCCTCGTCAAAGCCAATACTTGGACAGAATAGTTCGTGTACTTGCCCAGCCCGTGGATCGCGACCGTGAACGCGTTCGTGATCATCTCCGACTTGCTGGTCTCCGTCAGCGCGTCCATGTTCTCCCATATCACCTTGTAACCTTTCAGGTTCCCGTTCAGACTGTATTGAGGGGGCGTCTCCCACGAGACTTGCAGTGATTGCGAGGAGAGCGCCGTGCACCGTATGTCTTGGGGCGGGCTGCTCGGCACTGAGGACATTCCGACGGTGTCGGGAATCAATTACGTTGATCCAGCGAGACGGATATACGCTCGTGGGACCATCTACGGGGACTGTGTACACGGTGTAACACGAGGAAATGAAAATATAGGTTCGACAGCTCGGGGTCACTTGATAAAGCCTTATAATTAGTCGATGCAACGCATTGGTGGGGAAATTGTGCAATTGGAAGATTTCGTGGATTACTCGCTTCTCGATAAGTTACTTAACACTTTGATGTTGGATGATGTAGGAGTATGTATTTTAAAAAAAAAATGCTGAGAGCGACTGACATGGTAGTACGTCTTTCTTATGTAAGAACTAGGATACCAGAAAATAGCAATTGTTTTTTAAATGCATTGTATTTAGGGCATTCTGGAAAGTTTTTCAGTCCCTCATAAATTTCTTTGTTATCCGAAGCCGAGCTTCTACTTAGCTTCTGTTTACTCTGTTTAAATTGATTCCAGAGGGGGGCCCCCAGTAGTGGGAATAACGCCGTTGCTTGTGTCGCATTTATCGAGGTATCACTGTATCATCTCCATCAACTGAGTACTGTTTTTATTGTACCATTCCTCTCGTCTCATCCTGTAAACTTTGCTACAACAAGTATTTCGCAACTTTGAGCTACGTTGTAGGTCAAGTACTTTCATTCTTTACTCCATGTAACGTAATCGAGGGACGGAGCACGGTGCAAGAACCTGAACTTCCCCTTATTCCACATTTCCGCGACAGAAGCGTAAATTCTAGAAGTCCAGACCCGGAGGCTGCTTCAAAATTAGTCCTGAGATTCGCACGGGACGAGTCGGTAGGAATGGCAGAATCTGTTTATTTCGCGGGGCGCTAAGGTGTCCCGTAAGAAACACTCCGGCACGGAAGTTCGAGGCGTCGAAAGCACTTTGGAGTTTAACCGGGCCGCGTTCACGGGGGTCGGGATTAAAGAACTTATTTGCAAGCAGATCAGTTCCAGGCAACGGCGGGGCTTGCCTCTGAATTTATTATTTATTCGAAACTCGACCGGATGTACGGCGGTTGGTATTCATAGCGGAATCCACGAGAGGCTCGCGGGCCTCCAGTATTATTCCGTTCATGAATTTTTTAGCACGACGCTGTACCGCATTCGTTAAATCTGGCGTCGTTAATACCGTGTCCTCTGTATCCGCCAGTATGCTTGAGTCTCAAAAAGTTATCGGGAGATCGAATATCCCGGCATACAAGGGCGGAATATATTATCCTTCAATTTGGGGAAAATGTGAACGATATATTAAAAGAAAGAGATTATGAGAACCAAAGACAGGTGCAGTATAATATTAGAATACAATAGTGTTTTAAAAAAAGGGTGTAATACTTTAGGTGTTTCTAGTACTCACCAAGTGGAGTCAAAAATGCTTGATTAACATAGATCCTAATATCAATCCTTTCGATGAAAAGTATAGAAATTTATTTTCACATTTGTTACAGATGTTCGATACACCTTCCTTCCATTACGATAACTCATATTTGGGGATCCGAGATCGACGTACATTTTCAGATATTTCTTTCGCATCTCGTATTGGCGGTTGTCGTACAACCTTGAACTAATGTACTTCTAAACCAATTCTTCTGTTTACATTCTACATGTCACGAAATGACTCACTTATGATATCGAACGCTAGTAAAAATAAGAGTTGATTTTAAATCGGAAGGTTTTGTTTCAGGACCTATGTTGATTAGATATTTTGTACTCCACTCGGTGAATCACTGTAAGACACTAAGGAACTTTTTTTTGAATACCCTGTACAAGAACATATGTATAGAGTCACAAGTTACCGAGGTACCCAGCTGAGGGTAGTACTCAAACAGTCAGAAGCTAATCACATGTCCATGATGTGGACCTGTAGAGAATTTCAATAGGTATTGGATGAAGGATACTGAGTGAATGTGTAAAATATGTAAAATTTCAAGGGGACAGTAAAACCCGTGCTAGAAGAATTTTATGGAAAGGAAAGTGGAGATTGCACGCTTGAAGAAGTTAGAGGAAATGAAAAAGAAGGGAAGGTAGTAAAATGGTTGAGAACAATAGAGAATAAATTAAGTAAACCCGAGAACGAGAATAGGGTCTAGATGGAATAAGTTAAAACAGGTGAAAATGTAATAAATAAGTATATATAGAGGTGTAGACTGATTTGCCATAAACTAAGGTGGTTAGATATACTCATACACTAGTGACTTAAATCCAATATGGAGGTAAGGTAACGAAGTCCGTTCCTTGGTCTGAAGGTTGTAAGTATTTAGATACTGACTACCTAACTATTATCGTTCAATTTCGTTGAACAAACTTATCCCCTGGAAACTGTTTTCCCTTACCGTCTTCGAGAGTCGTCGCGACCACTTCCGGCGTCATCGGACCCTGGCCAAGAGCGTTGTAAGCCTGCACCACGACACTGTATCTCGTGTACTTCTTCAAGTTCGTCAGCTGGTATTGCCTGCCGGGCATCGATGGTCTTGCTAGTCCTAGGGCCACGCTGGCCGTGGAAATTGGTCTCTCCACGGTCTTGTAGGTGTACTGATGATCTAGTGCTAACCTGGACACCACGATCATATTTAAGTCGTTTGTATAGGATGTACTAGACACAATATATTTACTGTACTAATACATAGGCTGGAATAAATATTTGCTAACAATTAGTACCTTCATTGTCCTGAGGGTTGTGACGTTTGTCAATCATAGACTCATTATTTTTCATAAGATTAAATAATCTGAAATCTAGCACGTGTCTTGTGACTATATTCTAACAGGTTAATAGATATTTAGGGGATTCCATTTAGTTGGTCCACCTTGTATACGCAATATCCAGACAGTGAACGTAATAATAGCAATATTCACAAGTATCTACCACAACGTATCAAACCTTCAAACTTGTCTAAGGAATAACTTTACTCGCCTAATATATAAAAATAAAAAAAGAAATTTACTTGCTACACGAACTGTAAGACAGCATCAAAACAAGAGTGCACGGACGAGCACATCCGGATGCACCTGTATGCTTCGAAAATATTTCAACGTCAATGTTTTTCGAACGAAATAAACGAGACGGGCCCGGTGCTGCGATCCAGTTATTTATCACGCGGGCTGAAAAGTGTGGAATATCAGCGTTATTCGAGAAACACCCGAGCCCCGACGCAATCTAGTATGCCGACGACGGAAACGTATTCGAAGGCTATCGGGATGGGGGTCGGCGGCCGCGTCGTTAAAGGGTGGCCGTTTCCCCTGGATCGTTACCGATGTTCCTTGTAGCCGACGTGATAACCGAGTATCTCTCCGTTCCATAAATCATGATCAGGTGGATCCCAGGTGACGTTAAACTCGGTCGAGCTGACAGGATCCACCTTGAGATTTCGCGGCGGTCCGCCTGGCTTCTCCCCTTCGGTGGTCGTTTCCAAAATCTGGAAAAAAGGGGACATAGATCGAGGTTTGAGATTGTGTCCTCGACGATCTCTTCGTTTACCGTGTCCCGGCTACCTCTTGTGGTTGATCGTACCCGCGGCGAAAAGGCACGTGTATCGTTCACTTTTAAGGTTGTCGAACGTTTAACGGCGAGACGTATGTACGACAATGTTTATGTAACGGATGTATAGAACGTAACGGAGTGATTACGACATCAAAACCACCATAGCGTGTACACTTCATAAACGAAAAACGGAAATAGAAAATTGTAGACATTTTATTGTTGAATATAATTGCCTTCAGAATTCCAAGCTCTATCACTGTGCTGAACCTCACTAAAAATTCAGCGTTACACCAGTGGACGCCTCCTTATCAGTGCCAAGGAGCATTCGAACACTCATCGAGGATTTACTGAACATGCCTACCGAAAGGTTAAAAAAAACGAAGGTGATATGCAAACCATTCCTGTCAACAATCTCATTGCTACCGCGGCAGAAGAACTGTCGATGCTGCAATTTTCGGCAGCTAGACGTATTCATATCTAATCCATCTACGTCGATGTTTCGTTGATGCCGTTCATACGCCGCGCTGTTAAGTGAGCGACAGCGTTTGATCGGGCTCACTTTCAAACGCGCGCGCCCGATAAATTCAGCGAGCAAGAAAATTGCAGTTTGATGTAACGTGTCGCTTTTTAAGGTACGGGAATGGACGTTTCACGGAATAAATCGACTTCCGTATGTCAGTCGCCGCGAAAAGTGTCGAGCAAAAATAGTCCGCGACGAGGAGAGAGGCTGATGTGACCAGCAACAAGTAGGTGGATGGGGTTCGTGGGGAAACGAAGATCGATCGGGCCTGTATTACTATACGATACTTACGTCGCTCGCCTGACTCCGACCCAGCTCGTTCTCCGCGTAAATTCGGAACTGATAAGTGACCGCTGGACGGAGACCGTTCACGTGCGCGTGGGACTGGCTACCTGGCACCGCCGTGTGGAACGTGTGGTCGTGCCACACCTCTGCGAAAACAAATTGTCTCGATTACGGGACCGAAACAGGGGGCCGCGAGCGGAATTATCCATTATCCGAACTGGGGGCGTTATCTGAATCGCCCCCCTCCGTCGCTATCCGAGAGCTTTACTGCTCGAACGTTTTATTAGACGGATAGAGTACGGTCACGGGGAGTGTCCGCGTTTCTAAATCATTCTTACGGTACCAATCTGCTGGAATTTTGTTCCTGGATTCCATGCTTTTATGCAGGATGGACACAAGATTGTACCACGATCTGCCGAGGATAGATTGTTCGTGAAAAAATCAGTGAAGCATGAAGCAAAAATTTTGTTTTCTTCGAGGATTCGGTTTTCAGACGATGGATTTGAAAATGGTACATGCATTCATTAGTGTTTACAAGTACATGTCGGAAGTATTTAACAGATTGGTTTGGCAGAGTTCTATTTAATGGCGCGTGTTTTGCACTGGAAACTTTCAGAGTATTTTTGTCGGAAATGAAGTCTTATTTGCAAAAGTGTTCTCCATTCTCATTCCAATTCTCCACTGTCTTTAACGATGAATTTCTTTTCCATCCTCTATATACTCTGTTTATATTTTTATTAGTCAAATTAATCGTGTTCTTCTACGACGTCATTGATATTAGATTGTTGCATAATAAATATTGTTTTTCATAGTGCTGTATTTCAGCCATCGTAATTTCAAAGAAACTGGAATCGAGTAATGATCAAGTGAAGATACAATCTAAGTGATGATTCTAATTCGTTCAAATGAACACTTCATATGTTACGACCTAATCCTAAATACAGTGATTCCTCGATGATTGCGATACGAGCAACGTCGTTATTCCCACCACTAGGGGAGTCCCCCTGTGGAACCAATAAAAACAGAGTAAACAGAAGCTAAGTAGAGGCTCGGCTTCGGGTAAACAAAATTTATAAGGGTAAACAAAATTTATAAGTGTTAAAAACCCTTTCGCCTTGCCATGAATGCTCCGAAGTGGACCCGAGTACGTCGCACTCATCGAGGCATTACTGTAGATGGAAACCAAACTGTCTCAAGATCCAACAACGAACTCAATCTGTCCAACAGCGATCTATCAAAATCGTTTACTTGCCAGTATCCGTTTTGTATTCAACGATGTACTGCGTAATGGGGCTGTTGCCGTCCTGACTGGTTTTCCAGCTGATGTTGATGTAGCGGCTCCCCTTCTCGATCACGCGAAGATTCCTTGGAAGGTCAGGCGGCTCTGTTCCCAGGCGAAAAAAAGAACAAGAACGAAATCACACTAGTCAGCGATCGTCGGTCACGATACACGACTCGTTACGCAACGCGGATCCTCCGTCCGAAACGTATTTCATTTCGCGAAACCGCCCGCGGTTATCTCCGAGCGTCGTTCGGCCGGCACTTGCGCGGAACTGCATTAAATTAAATGGACGAGTTCCCCGGTGCCGCCGGTACACATTACGATAATTACTCGGAGTGCTCGACAACGTTATATGCAAATACCAAGAACCCCGGAAACATTATCGGAATTGTTTCGTCGCGAACGATCTCGACGCATTACACCGATAACATCGTTACCAAGGATTATCGGGGTATAACCGCCGCTAAGAGGAAAAAAATGCTTCGGAATCCACGTCTGCTCACCGAATTCACGACTATTCGGTTGTTTTATTGCGATTTTCCAGGCTTTTTGCCGGGTGTGATTTACAGTCGTTGTTGCGTCGATGCCAAGGATAACGTTAATAATCGCGTCTCGAGCAGAACGTTCCTCTCGACGGGACAGATGGTCCAGAAACAAAGATTGGGGGTTCATACGCTTATTCAGCTCGAGAAATAAAAGATTTGAAAACTTATAATGTTATTTAAGACCAAGTGGATAAATGAAAAGCATTCTATCAATTTTAGGGATTCTTAAATAATTTTTCGTATTAATGTTTCCGTTGATCGATTCTAGATTTCTAAATACCCGGACGTACCGCTAGTATACAGGGTGTTCCAAAATACTTATAAGTCCTTGAAAGGTGTGATTCCTGGGGTGATTGTAAACAATATTTTCCTTAGCGAAAAAGTTGTTTAAAATCACCTCAACAATCACCTCAATCAAGGACCTACACCTATTTTGGGACACCCTGTACAAACGTGACCTGCAGACTTCCAGAATTTTAAAACGATTTCATAATTACCGCAAATTCACGGTGATTTTCGTGTATCTCGAAATTTTATCAGTGTTTCAGATGTTCAGTAATCATAAACCCATCATGCAGAAGTCCTAACAAAATGTGTTCACTGAATTCGATTCTGGACCAGTGTGAGACGGATTTATGGTGTTTGTAGGTTTGTTCTTACCTTGTATATACAGCTGTATCGTCATTTCGTCGCTGCCGTGCTCGTTCGACGCGATACAGACGTACCTGCCGCTGTCCCCGCGGCTTGTGGTGAAGAACTCGAGGGTGCTGATTGTCCCGTCCGTGGTGTTCTCCTCTTTCAGCATGTACCGGTAATCGGACAGCTTTTGGTCCAACTGAACCCCAGTCTTTTTCCATAGTATTTTCAACGGATGATCGCCCTTCGCCTCGCAACGCAGCACCGCGGTCGATCCGAGCCTCGCCGTCTGATTACGATGCCTCTCGACGAACTTCGCCGGCACTGCGCGCAGTAATCCGAAATAGCAATAACCTGGCGTTTACCTGACGGGGATTGTCGATCAAGGGAATAATGGATCGCTTCTGCGCATAGCCAGATTCGAGTCTTTAAGGTTCGACACCTGTAGACTGTTCAGGGATTCTGGTAAATGGAGGTTAATATGTTTGTTTTTTCATTACTAACCTAAGACTGTTTGTGCAGATGTAAACTTTAAATGTTTCATTACAGAGTTGGGCAGAATTTTATTCGAATAATACACAGTGAAAAGCAACAGTACCTAAGGCTGTCGTTTTAAGCTTTAAACAGTTAATGAGCTTAAATAATTGTTCGACAAATGTCGATTCATTCATAAAGAAGAATAAAGATTTTATTATAAAAATTGAAATTTCCTCATTTAAACCAAATGCGAGTAAACTTCAAATATAATAATATTTTTAATAACGCAACAATCGAAATTCCAGTTTATCCGTATCTTATAGCTCGGTATATAATTCTCACATACAAATGTACCAGAAAAATGAACAAGAAGTGCTAATTCCTAAACGCATTGTTTAAACAAATAGATCATACTGGAATCCAATCATATAGCCAGATTCCTTATAAAAAAACACACAATATTGCAATGTAGACCGCACACATTTCCCACCCCTAAATTTGAAAACTGTTTTCACCCCTTCAACTGAACTAAATACGCTAAAAAAAAATACCTATCAAACATTTTTAACAGAACTACAATCTCACAGAGTTTTATCAAATTCGGGATGTATCTTTTGTTCGAGGATTAAGGAGACTGGTCTTACCGTTCACCGTCAGATGCACGACTTTGCTGAGTCCCGCGCCGATCCCGTTCACCGCCTCGCACAGATAGAATCCCTCGTGATCCTCCTGCACCCGGCCGAACACCAGGGAGCCGTTCGAGTGTATCCGTAAGTCCTGGGCGTGCTCGTGGGCGACGATGTCCCGGTAATTACCCGGTTTCTTGCCGCTCGCGCGTCGCCACGTGACCGCCGGAGGCGGAAATCCGTCCGCGTGGCAGTGAAGTACCAATCGTGACTTTCCCTCCGAGGCGCGAACATCTTGCGGCTCCATCACCCAACGGGGTGGCACTGTTTCATAGACGCCGTCCGTTAGTCAACCCTTGCGTTGGTGGGATTCGCGAGGCGGCGTACGCGGTGCCATCCGAGATCTCGTCGTTCCTCGTCTCCCCTCCGGGGGAATTTCACTTGCAGATCGTAACGACTATTAACGGGGGCCGCGGATTCTACCCTTTTTCTTCTTCCGTCTCCCTGGACCCCTTACCACCGACGCAATTATCGCGGTTGGGATCGTTAGTCCGTGGAGATTTTTTTTTCTTTCTTTACGAGTCCTTGGGATTTTCTGGTTTAATTGAACGATGTATCGAGAGACCACGGTACGTTAACTCTTTAGGATTAGGTGGGTTAAAAACTGTCCCACCTTTTGCTTAGCTTTTTATGCATGGTGGGATATATTTT